AGAAGTGAGAGGTCACACTCACAGACATATTAGTGAGGGAACATCTTCCACTTCCTTCGCACACAGACCCACAGGAGTGGCTCATCTGACCTATGAGCATAGATACTCTGCTCACCTAGAAACCCCCACCTGCTCTGGCCTGTGACCCTTCTTGTTACATCAGGCCCCTAATCAGTGTCTAAGCCCTCAGCTTCTGCAGGGAAGATCAGCGAAATAGTAAGAAGGCATCCTCTGTGAGCCCATTGCCTCCCGAGCTGGCTGTGTCTGTCCCTGATGTATAGAACAGCCAGGAGGTCACCACTGAGAGGACTTATAAACCAATGGGAGGACTCAGCAGGGTCCCTCAGCTCCTGCTTAAGGAAAGACAGTGGTTTGGCTGCCTCAGTTCCTATCAGACCCTGGGGAGGCTCCTGCATAGAGGCAGGAGGAACTGAAGTATGGAGGCGCGTGAGTCAGAGAGAACTATCAGGGGCACTGACCTGCTCATCATCACATCAAGAAGCAGGAGGACCTGGCCTTTTTCCAGCAAGGGGTCGCCAGCAACTGTCAGACATAACCCGATACTGGACCCTGACACTCATTTATTATTCATCCAAAATAAGTAAAGTCACTTCTTTCAGTCTTGTTCATCACTTATAAAGTACAGATAATAAAGGTATGATAGTTATGAAGGCTTTATTAAAGTTTCATTATCACTCCTGCTAAAGCACAGAAATGCCCCATCACTGTCAGCCCTTACTGTTATCATCTCAGCATTTTCCAGCAAAAGATAAAATTATCATGGATGTTGATACCAAGTCAAGGCAGTTGAGTGACTCAGGCAATTGATCATTATTTTTCAGAGCTACTTCCACATCACAGCATAGTCTGTGATCCAAACGTGAGTGCCTCAGCCAGTATAGATCATACCCACTTGGTTTAACTTGGTACAGACACCTGCAGGCTGGAGGGCTCTGTGCTCCTCAAGACTCTTTGGAAAGTGGGTGTTTTGTCATGACCCTTCTCAAGGGTCTCTGCTACTCATTTGCCCAGTTCAATCTACACCCCAATTTTTCTTATGCATATGATATGCCCTAGAACTGAGGATACAATTCCTTCCCATGTCCCCAAAGTCATGGCTCCATGAATAGGGAGGATGTGTCTTTAACATTCCCTGTCCCCCCCCATATCTAGTCCTGCACAGGACTGCACACACAGGGGCTCCCTGGGCCTCAATCTCTGAAATGCAGCTTCTCTAACTCAGATAGGAGGATGCCTGCCATCCCTTAAGACAGAAATCTTTGCCCACATGTAGTTTTCATTTTCTATCTTTAACTCTTGGGTAAGGTACGGAGAGCTCATAGAGACCAGGGGTTTTCTTAGTTCAATTCTCTGTGCTCATTTATGTACATAGAACAGGATTCGGTCAAGATAATTTAGTCACATGGCCAACTTTACACATGATCTTTCAAAATACTAAAAAGTAAATAAAGTAAGAAATCAACTGAACAAAATAATTGCACAGTGATCTTTCTACCAACTGTGAAACATGACTTGATATGCATTATTCATTGAAAATACTTGGAAAAAATCACCCATGAAGACCTCTGTACCTAAACTTGTCTTTGTAAGGAAATTTTTTTTTAAAGATTTATTTTTTATGCATACAGAACTGGGGTACAGGCCAGAGGCTCAGGGGCGGCGAGAGGCCTCACCAGAGACAGAGTGGGGAGCAGAACAGGCAGATCAACGAAGTACACTGCTGAGGGGAGCAGCGGGCGGGTCAGGAGAGGTCTGCCACGCCATGTGGTCACCTCCGGGGCAGGCGGGAATCGAACTCATGTGGAAGCGGCTTTAGATTCTCAGTGCTGTGCTTTAACCCGCTGTGCCACCAGGGAGGGCCAATGTAAGGAAATTTTAATGAAAATTTAAATCTTCTTATTGGTTGAGGACTATTCAAGTTAACTGCATCGCAATTGCTTACCTTTTGTTAGTTGCTAGACAATAAGCTTTTGATTATTAAAATGAATAGTTTGATCAGTTTGCCAAATGCATTCATGGGGAACTATCATGCCAATGAAGTAGGGATACAGTCTGTCACCCCTGAAAATGGCTGTGTCCACACTGTGACCCCTTCTCCCACACTTCCCTTTTCACCTTTCCTGGTTAGGCATCCCCTAACCTCTTTATCTTCACTACAGTTTGCTTCTTCAAGAAGTTTACATAAAAGGAATCCTTTGGCAGACAGACTTCTTTCATTAGTATGCTACTTTAAGGTGCATCGCAGTTGCTTTATCAATAATTCATTATTTATCGCTAAATAGTAATAATAATATTTCATGTGCATCAAATGTTGGTTAACATTGGGTTGTTTGAATCCAAGAAACTACTTATGTTTTCAAAGTTGTCCTATCATTTTTCACTCCCGCAAATAGTGTGTGAGAGTTTGAGTTCCTGCATAACCCTTAGATTGTTCAGTGTTTTAAGTTTAAAATTCTAGTAGATCTGGTCAACTTGTGTCATGGTCGGTTCTGTAAATTTCACATTCTACTGGGACGCAGTGATGACACTTTGAGATTTTAATTTGTGTTTACTGGATCTCTAATCAGACACAGCATCTAATCATGTCTGATATTTACCTGGTGATGCAGTTGTTTAAATCTTTTTTCCCAATTTATGAACCCACTTCACTGAATTTATCCCTGGTGTTCGTCTAAAATTTGTATAATTTGAGATTTTATATTAACACTATTTTGTATTCTACTACTGTGCATTTTACATTCAGGGTAAGATTTGGCTGGAAGTTCACCTAAGGTACTTGGTTCCTTCAACACCTCTTACTGGAGACTGCATTTCGCCCAATGGTGCCCTGTTCCTCTGAAGCATCTGGTCTGCAAAGTATACACAGTATATTGAAGGGTTCTCTTCTGTTCCATGGACCTATTTTTTCATCCTTATTCTTACATGATTCTGA